CAGCCCAGACTCCTTAAAGAATGTTTCTCCTGTGTTCTCTCCAACAATGTTTTCTGTTCTTACTGGTTTCCTGGAAGCTTCATACTGTATTTTGTACAGTATTATTCAGTTTTTTTCCTCATTTAATTTTCCAGCCAAACACTGTGCAGACAAGAGGCTTAACTGAAGACCCCCTGGGATCCTGTAGAGCAAATTGGACATATATGTTAAGATATTACATTAGTAGATTATGATCTTTTTCCTCCTCCACTTAGATTTCTTTAGTCAAATTAACCTGTCAAATACAATAAATAATAATAATAAATTTGTTGCTGCTTATTGCTGTAGGGCAATCAAAACATCTCCAAAGCCTGAGGCTATCTGTTGTTCAAGAGTGATTACATTTATTTCAAGCAAAACAGAGTATGAACAACTAGGGATTTCATTAGGTCACCTGAAAAACTGGAGAATTATTTCAGTGGAAGGCACATCAGCAGCTCATCCATCTCCTGTTCATTTCTCTCCTGTATTTTCTGCAGTGGAGATACTATTTTCCCTAAAGCATCTCTGAAACATGAGTGGCAAAAATATTTGTGAGAGTAGTGATCATGATTATGCAGTCACTCTGGAGAATTCCTTCTATAATTTAATTTTAGCTACAGTAGAAGTGGCAAATCAACATGTATTGATCTCTAAAAACTATTTTTCTGGAAACATTGTTTTAGGGGAAAGGCAGGAAGCGCCCAAGAAGGATTAGCAAGCCTTTAACGTATACCAAATATGATGGATTATATCACGAGGATAATAAATATGTTGCATGTTACACAGTCTATGAGATACTAATCATACTTCTGTTTTAATGAGAAAGCTACTCAGTCAAGAAGTTGCGTGTGAGGAACAATCTGCCTTGCTGTCAGGTGGCTAAATCTGACGACAGTCTGCATTGGTTTTGGGGAGTATTTTTTAGTTTACTAGTCAATTATTGGTCCCAATGGAAATTTCAAACCTGTCTCTTGCCATTAATCCTCCCCTATTAATCTCCTGAATTATAAGAACGAATAAAACATTAATAAACCAAAAATAAGTTCAAGTTACCGTATTTGCTGTCTTAGCCTGTCTTGTAGGAAGAGTGCAGTCCTTGGACTGTTGTTTTTATAACATTGCCAATGCTTAGATACTGTAGGGCTGGGCATACTTAGTGATCACACAGGGATAATTTAATCAATTGCTGAAGAATGTAATATATTTCCTTGCTTCAATTCTGTTGGTCTGTCTGCATATAAACCTATTTTTATGTCCTCTGATATTTTCCTCCATAGAGATACTAATTAGAAAATTAGTCTAGAAAGTGTTAAATTTTTTTTTTTTGTGTGTGTGTGTCTGTTGATAATATGTGGGTTTTTTCATGTTTCTTGATCTGATCCTCTGAGTGAATAAGAATAGAATGACCTTGCTTTCTTTATCATAATCTTTTAGGAAGGCACCTGTTTTCCTACTGATTTTTTTTCTTCTGTCTACATCATACCTACTGGAGTCAGGATCTTTTTTCCTTTTAGTAATTCCTCTTCTATGGATTCCACTTCTTAGTTTACACTGGTTTTGTCATCCTTCTGTGACTAGTTCTTCTAATCAGACCCAAGTCTTGCTCACTTTAGCAAGATTGCACAGAGAGAGAAAGGACTTGTGGCATCAAACAAAGGGCGCTAAATAACCCTCCTGTCTCCTACTCTAACTGCCATCCTCTATTATTAGGACCATCTTAGGAAAACTTTGCTGAGAACCTTTGAATTTTTATTTTTTTCACTTGCAAATATGATCTCTTTTCTCACTAAGTTCATACTAGGTGGCTAGGAAACTAGCAAAGGAGGGGAGGGACTTTACTAGTGTAGTATATAGCCTTCTGCAAGTAAAAGAACTGCAAAGTTTTGTCTTTGTTCTTTATTAATTGTACAAAGGATTCTGTGTATAAATTAGCATTTCTAAAGAGCATCCCAAAAGAAATCTGCTTGCTTTCATAAAGAAATTTGGAGGAATGTCAGAGACAAGATTAGAGGAGTTCCTCTGTGGGAGGTAGTTTGCATACTAATGCATATTTCTCTTTGTTTGTAGTTTGTTTGTTTTACTATTTGTTTTACCATTTGCTATCTTCAGGAGGAAGACTTACACACAAGTTTTCAAGAGACTAGGCTAGGTGGCAGCGAGGGCTGTAATTCTCAAATTTCCTCTGCTACAGCCCCATTTTCTAATGACAACAGAGCAATTGCAGCTTCTACCTAGTTCGTGTACCTACCCTGTGCCCCATAAACCAGCAGTGCCTCTGTCAGCCCTTGCAGTTACATAGTTGGGTGTGCAAATCCATGACACAATTGTATTTGGTCTCCATCAGTAATCTGGTATTTTGTGATCAAAATCACAGTAATGTGATTTTGAACAAGTTACTATGCCATTCTGTAGCTGTTCGTGCTCTTGTCCATTGTCTGTTTTGTCTGTTCAGGCGTGAACAGACGTATTCGTGATAAGCTAAATGTCATCAGGCTTGATCCGGAGGGGAGCAATCATTACAGACATGGATCACAGTCACTGTGTTACGCTACTTAGACTAATTGTTTTTCTCACTCCCATTAAAATCTCTATTACTTCAATGAATTGGCCTGGCTCACAGGAAAGAGTAGAGAAATTTCCTCAATATATAAAATTATTTGCCATTTTCTCTAGTATTGGAACCCTATACTTGCTTGACCAGACACTTGAGGATGATGAGAGCACCACTGAAGCACATTGCTAACTGAGTGTGAGCAAAAGAGGTTATCCTTGCCTCCTGATGCGAAGTTCACTCTTCACATCAGGAGGTTTACTCATGCACTCACTCTTATCTTTGAAAGCTTTAATATAAAGGAAAGTTCAGCCTTTTTCAAATCTGGAAGCTTGGCTGACCTTTCAGAGACCATTTATATGCATTCAATTCATGAAGTGATTCATTTAGTACACCAACAATCTGCTTCTAAGTTTCTCTTTGGACTGCAGATATGATGATGTGGAGATGAGATATGAAGAACCTCGACAACGCTGCCTCCCCTTTTTGACAGTCTTGTAGAGAATGTTTGGTTTGGGTTTGTGGCCTTCAGGGAGAAAACAGAATTAGGTTTGTTTTCACTGTATATAAACATAGGAATTGCATGGTTATTATTTTTTAGACACGGATTCTCAGTTACTGATTCAAACCTTGGAGTCTTGCTGACGTGGCCACACTAGGAGCTGTGGACAGGGAGCTGTAGTGTTCCTTAGCCTCTGAGCTCTTCTTTGCAGGGGCCTGGATGAGAACACAAGATAGGTTATAGTAGATAAGTTCCTGTCTGATGTTTTCTTTGCTTTACCTCTGTAGTCTGATGCAGAAATGGAATTTATGAAAACCAAACTTTTTGTTAGTTGCAAGGACCCATAGGAATCTATGTCAATCTTTGTAAAGAAGTGCCATCTACAGCCTATCTTAGGCAAACTGTTTCCTGATAATTAAGGTTAGTAAATAAGTCTTTTCTTTTCCTCTGAAATACACAGCAGGGAAGGCTGCAGCTAATGGGAATTTTGGATGCTCAGCAGCTTCCAGGGTTAATTTTTTCTCTGTTGGATTTAAAGCTAACATTTCACAGTCCTGTAGGACAAACTGAAGAATGTGTTTTGGGAGAGATGCCTAAACTACCAGCGGACAGGACTGTTTTATAAGAGTACAGGCGCTCAAACAATAGTGAGACTTTTATTTTATTCTTGTAAGTAATCACAGTTTATTACAGCTTCTTAGACTTTGATGCTCTTTATTAGCCACAATACCAAAGGGTAGTTTACCTAAGAAAAATTCATTGCCAACGAACAGGGTGCCAGGCCTCAATTGCAACTCCTGAGGAAATAACCACTGCAAGATGAGTCAAACCCGCTGTGCATTCTCTGTACTGTACTGCTTGTTCTGCTCAGTGTAACTTCAGGGTAACGTTTTACTCCCAAAAGGCAGCCCAGTCAGCTGTAAATGAATAATGGTTTCCTAGTATCAAACAGAGAATAGGACTTTCAGATACTATCAGAGCCCAGAAATGTGCCTGGCACCTGCATCTCTTGTTCTAAATATCCTGGATTTTTCTGACCTCTTCTAGCTCAGAGGATCACAGAAGGAAGCTTCCTTATTAAGAGCTGTACAGGTGTGTCTATAATCAGTATGTTCCACATCTTTGTGACCAGTTATTTTGCTTAGCTTGATTTTAAGTCAGAGGAACAAATAAAGGGAGAGCAGACCCAAGCTCTGATGATCTTTGAACTTACTTGAATGTGAAGCTGATTAGCTACCATAGAGAGAACCAAGATCACGATCTAAACACGCTGAAATTCAGCACAGTAAGCTCCTGGATCTAAGTCTTGTGGTTCACATGCATCTTTACCTGTACCATGTGAGAGATGCAAGCAGCTTCAAGTTGTTTCCTTCCCAGAAGTACAGGGCTGTTTCTCCATTGAGTAACGCTGCTGAGTTGAGAGATGACACAGAGGGTGTCCCAGCTCCTGGACCCCTGGGTTTTCCCCAGGTGTCAGTCACTCCTCCTCACAGATAATCGCTTACTATCATCATCTAAAAGAACTACATCTTCCATGACTAGATTTACAGGTACAACCACTTAAAAAAAAAAAAAAAGTATTCACAGTGAGGTGAGGTAAATATGCAGGTTTATTGCAGCCAAGCCACTCCTTTCGGTGCTCATTCCTTCTCAGACATCTGCTCGTGGATGTTAAAACCCTGAGCACCTTTGGCAGGGTGATTGAACTCTGAAATCTGCAGCACCTGTAACAGAGGAGCAATATTTGGGAAGGAGTTGTCGTCTGAGGAAAAGCAGCAGCTTCAACTTGTGTCCCATGGGAGACAAGTGAATCTGGAGTTATATATTATATAAGACGTAGGGGATGACAGCAGTTTATCATTAACCTGAACTCTGCAAGAAGCACATAAGGAGAGAAAGAAGAAGGAAGCCAGAGAATCAGCCAGGATGGAATCCGACATAAGGATCAACAATGCTGCAGACATCTCTGTTATTGTCATCTATTTTTTGGTAGTCCTGGCAGTGGGACTATGGGTAGGTTGGGATTTTATTTTATTTTATTTTATTTTCATTTTATTTTAATTTTATTTTTATTTAATGAGCAAGTAGTTTACAGGGTCTTGAGAAAATGGCTCAGTAAATGAAAATGTGTAATTGTATAAAGGTTTTGGTCTTAATTGAGACAGTTAAATAAGTGCATGGTGGGGAAAATATGGGTATTTACTGGAGAGGGGATGGTGACCCAGAGAGGCATCCATTTAGGTGGATGAACAGAACTAGCAGGGAAGGTGGAGTAATGAAGTTTGTGTGGGGAAGGAGCTGAGAGATCTGGTCTGCGAAGATCAGGCCAGCTAGGGTCCCTGTTAGGAAGCAGGCGAGAGGTGAATCGATGGGGTTTAGCACTGCGGGGCACTGGGACTGCAGTGAGAACTGGTGGTGTGAGGTGATGCCATAGGAAATGGTGAGAAGAGGGAGTTGCAGGGAGAAGAACGGAGGTGAAGCCAATGTGCGGGGTGGGCAGGCGGTGTGGTGGTGTAACAGTAAAACTGCAGCTGCGACTGTGTGACGGACCGGGGACTGCAGGTCACCCTCAGCAAAGGAGTGAGATCGGTCAAGATTGTAGGTGCCGTTTGACGGTAGTGTTATTGTGGCTCTATTTGGCAGCAGGACCTTGACTGCAGGGTGCAGTGCCATTGAAACTGTAAGGAAGAAACAGTTTTGGGGGTGGCAAGGGACGGCAATGACTTTCTGTTCGTGATCTAGGCGCAGCCGTGCCTCCTGCCCTCACCCCGGCAATGCTGAGTGTGCTGAGGACTGCAAGGGAAAACTCGGTGCCTAATCCAAAAGCAAAGCACAGTGCTTTCACAGCTGATGGGGAAAGGCAGATACTATCCTATTGGTGTAACCTCAGTGCTGAAGTGTTTGCAGATAATAGGCTAATACTGTGAGCTGTGGAATGTCGCTAAATTTCAGTTTCCTTGGGGCAAGCTCTCCTGGTCAACTGAACACCTGACCATTAACAAGAGGAGAGGAGGCATTGTCCCTCAGCAATCCTCTGCTTGCCGAGAGCATCCCAGGGGTCCATTTCACAGTGCAGAGAAGTCACCTGCAAAACAAACCTCCCTTTCTAGCAGCCTGGCAACATTTTGAAGAGCACCAAAAATTTAGGGTGTACGCAAAATGGACACAACCTTTTCTTTACCTCTTCATCATGGCAGATGCCATAAACGTAGCAAAAAATCTGAAGCTCCCAGTATACCTGAAATATATACCTGCTGTCTTGTGGGAGGGAGCTGGGTCTTTGCCACAGAAGCCTGGCTGTTGCTGTAGCTGAACTTTGTATTAAAGATCTGTGACAAAAAAAGGACTGATCCGTGGCTTGTCAGGCAATTGTGTGCTGAGTAATTCCTGGAACCGCTTCTTTCAAGCAACAATGTCTTCTTTATTGGACAAATACTTATTCAGTTGCTACGTGTAGTTAAATGTAAATCTATTGTATTTACTTCCTTCTGCATCAGAAGAAAAGATCAGGCTAATTTTCCCAAATCTTCTTCCTTTATTTGCCTGTTCAAGGTCCACCAGAGGAGACAATGGGAATCCAATATTTGGATCAGCGTCATTAACAAAAATTGTATGAAGCTTCCCTCTAAAGCCCATTCCTTGACAAATACAAAATGAGTGTGTGAAAAGGAAATTTTAGTTGGCTTCTTTTTTTGAACTTCAGAGAGAAGTGGGTACAATGCTGATATTATAACAAGAAAATAGATTTTTGTAGATATCTACTGGGGTTGGATAGTATTGAGTAAAAAAGCTGCACACTTTCTGTTAATGACCTTGCAACTTACAATCTTTTTTGATGCCTGAAATCAGAGGCATTGCACCCTTGATGAAGTGTTCATATGACCTTTTATTTGAGTGGTTCTTTTTTTGGTTAAACTTAATTTTATTTTAATGTTTCGCACTGTAATGAAAGATGAAGCAATGAACCTTGAATGGTTAATGTAGACCTAGGTACAAGAATCATTGTTCAGTTGTATTATTTTCTTCGTCATAAACTTGTTCTTTTTAACCACTCTGTTTATTTCTTCCACTTTACCCTCCCCATATGTTTAATCCCTTCATTCTAGCTGTTTGTTCTTAGTCTGTGTATAGCTTGCCTATAATACTTAAAATATGATTCAATCTTTCTTTCTTTCTTTCTTTCTTTTTTCCAGGCTATGTACTCAACCAACCGAGGGACAGTAGGTGGATTTTTCCTGGCTGGACGAAGCATGGTTTGGTGGCCGGTGAGTACTATATACGTTGTGTGTATATAAAACGTATCTATGTGCATGTGCATCCACTTGCATACAACTATGTCTAGTCCTTAAAAATATTTAAGAATCTCTACAGTACTGTTGAAACTATGATGGCTATGTTGTGTAAATGCATTTCAGACTCTTTCTCTAACCATGGTGACACAGGGCAAACTGCACAACAAAAGCCACCTGGTACCAGCAGGGAAAAGTATTGGGGAAGTTGTCTCTGAGCTGTCTTGATTATCTGACTTGTTTGAACCTAGATGCATTGGTAGTGTCAGTGTAGACAAATCCAGTGCTTTGCCTTTTAGCCCATTTAAAAACTTTTTAATATTTTGAATTTATTACTTTCACTACACTGAAAGAACCTGGCTGATTTTGAGGTTATCACAGAGAAGAATTAATTTACTGAAATCTTTCCTTATATTGCTCTATTGTTTCCACTTTTGGTAGCAAGTTCTGGCCTGTACAAGGAGAAAATCCTAGAAATATTATGATAAGTTATTGGTAAAATACAGTTTAAATTTATTTAAAGATTATCTCTGACTAGTATGGTTCATCTTCTGTGGATCTGTATTCTCTCCTAAGGTGGAGAAATGGAGTCGCAGACACAAAACATGTTCATAGCCATCCATCGGGCCTCTGGCAGGAATGATATTAGAAACAATTTTCTATTTCTTCCAGACCATACAGTCTATTTAGTGTGACTTCTTGGAAAAGCAGAAAACTTAGACAAACCTGCGTTTGCTGTGTTACTTGTGTTGTACATGCTTCCCTGTGCTTGAATGGAAATCTTCAAAATTCCTGACCTCGCATTCAGTCTCCAAAAATGTTTTTGCACTTCATTAAGACTTTTGATTCAAGATTCCACCTGCATGGATTCAGTTAGAGGATCAGAGAGAGGGAGAGTAAATATTTCTTGTCTAAAAATTTAGGAATTATCTTAATGTAGACTGCAGAAATACCTACACAACTTTCAGTTTTCTTGTGCTTCAGGGAGCTGCTCTCTGCCTTTAGAAGGAATTGGGACTGCCTCTTTAATGACATAAAAAGATTAAAGGCCCTTGACAGGGAAAGGTTTCCTCATTTGGTACAGTAGGTCTAAGAAAATTCAGGTTCCATTGGAAGACTGAGGAAAGAGAAAGTTTCCAAGTTATTTTAAGATAAATCCCATAATTGTAGGGGGAGAGAAAAAACCCAAACAGATTACTTTGCTTAACTGTCACTTTAGGCAGTGGGCTGGTTTTAACCTTGTGCAATTCTGTATGCCTGTCAAGGGTGAATATGAATACCCTTTTGTGCAGATGTAAATGAAGGTAGAAGAAGCAAAGCAGGAAAGACTGACCATAAAAAAACTTCTGTCTTGGGGCAGTGGCATTGAGAACTCCTAATGATTCCCCTAAGACTCAGGGAAGATTGTCTGAGTTCTCTGCCAACACGAAACCAACAGATTCAGCAAGCTCCCTTCCTCCAGTGGGAAGACAAAAGGGATGACCCCACAGTGCAATGGCTGCTGCTAGGATCATCTCTCTCTCCTTCCCAAACTCTGTGAGCTCAGCGTGGACGAAGTGCTTGCTAGTCATCACTGGAGTCCTAGGCCACCCCTAGGATCTTTCCCTTTGGAATGCCATGAGTGTCTTTCTGCACCATAAAAATAAACTCTTCTTGCTATTCTTCCTGGTATCACTCAAAATAAACAAATGGCAAGCACTCAAACCACAAACTAAACACCATGTCAGCAGCACCACCTTGGAAAGTTTGCCTTGGATAAAAAAAAGATTCCAAAACACCTATTCCCACGATTTAGCAGGTAGATAGGATGTCCATCACCCAGTGCAAACTGGGCTGAAATGACTAGGAAACCAATGAAAGTACACAAAGTTCAGTCAAAGATGTGATCTCAGTTCTGCAATAACTAATGCTGCGTGTAGTTTTTTACTTCTGTGCTTTGACTTTTCTTTTGTGCTGCATCAGGACTACCCTGGTATGGTTCTGGAAAGCCCAGATACATTTCCACAGTCTGTAGATTCGAGGCAGGGTGGGGGAGGTTGTTTTGTAAGTAAGTGGACTCTCATTTATCAGATTTCTTCCATGCGATTTCAGGATAATCACCCTTGCCATATAATTGCTTTCTGGAACAGAGCAAAATGAAAAAAAACCCCACCTTCCACAAACTTGTTATAAACTTAATTCCCTTAAACTAATTGTATTTTTCAGTGGTTGTGCTATGTTCTATGCAATACCGGCCAGCCATAAGTGGCTTTTCTGACCCCACAGAGAAAGAGGCTCATTAGCAATGTATTAGGGTCTCTTACTGACAAGCCTGGGAAAGGGATTCTGTCCACTTAAATGATCTAATAGCTGTGGTTTACTAGACTAGAGGAGACCCTGGTAATCAAGGGCTGGAGGTGAGTCCCACTTTTGATATGGATTTTGCATGTTTGTCAGTCACTTTGCCTGATTATAATTCAATTTCTCAATGTTTAAAGTAGGAGCCAGACAGTTATCCTGGGCCAAATCTGTCCAACTTTGACTCTGTTGGCTCCAGCAGAATCCATGAAGGTTGCTTAGTATTTTGCAGAACCAAGTCCACAGTTAGTCTTTTCTGGCTGTTCTGCTGAGGTTACAGGTTACTTCTGTGTTAGTTCACTGAAGTCACTGCCCTTGTGCGGTGGATGAGCCAACTCAGTAGTTCCAGTAGTTAATTAGGGATCGAGGTGTATAATTACATTCTCACCGATTGCCAGAAATTGAATCTGTTGTTGGTTAATCATAATGGTATGAAATGCTGTGCCTTTTTCACAGTCTTTTTACAGAAACTGAGAAGAACCTTCAAGAAACGGGTTTTGGTCTCTTGGGCTTTGAGGGAAATGTCTTCAGGAAAGTCACATATGGCTCATATGACACACATGACTCATAACCAGCTCTGCTTTTTCCAAAAAGACACGGAGAAGCTGAAGGAAAGTGACAGCCTTGTAACAGTGGGACTTGCAAACGGAACTTCAGCTTCTTTTGTTAGATGAAGGAGTTTGGTTCAGCCAGACACTTTCTACCATTGTAGGAAATCTGTTCCTGGAGAATAGTCAGCTTTAGTAGCAGCCACTCTCACAGCATTAACAGGGTTTCATGCACAATAAAAAAAACCCAACAGACAACCAACTTCAGTTTTAAAGCTTTCCTGCTTTTGAATTTTGCTTTTCAAGTTCTGTAGTTTTGCAGACAGAGCTGTCTGCACAAAATTATGGGTTACCTTATATACCTCAGTTCCTGAGGCACAAATGCTAATAGGACAAAGAGTATCTGCTGGGCATCTGAAGTTCAGCTATGGCTAGAAAGATTTACTGAATAGTAAGTAGGAAGCAAACAGGGCCAAGGACATACTATGCTTTAAACAGAAATGTAACTCATCTCATTTATTGTCACTTATGTGTTGATCTTTGTGAGACAGGTAAGAATTAAGCAAAAAAAAAAACCCAGATTTTTGCTTCAGTTCTGCATAACTTATCTTCATGGCCATCAGAACTGATCTCTGCCACGATTTCTCTGATCTCTGTATCCAGTTAAGTTTTCTCAGATTTCTCCCCACTTGCTGAATCTGACACTGCTGTGAGGAGCCAGGAAAGACAACTCTGGTATGAATAAGATTTGTATTTCCTTTTCTTGGGTAAAGTGGAGTAAGAAATTAACTTATTTTGTCAAGTTCCATGAGAAAATTAGCGAAATCAGTAGTTCTCAGAGTAAAAAGAATAATAAAGTAATCAAAGCAAATCTTTGATAGAAAAGGAAAAGTTCAATGAAACAGATTTCTACAGAATCCATCAGAATTTTCAAGGTGGCCAGGAAGGCTTGACTCTGTCTTGGAGGACAAAGGTGGAAAGGTATCAGACCAACCTGCTTGCAGCTGTGCTGTTCCAACAGCTGTCAGGCTTATCAGAAGATATGTATTGTATATCCATCTCTCTCTCTTAGTGAATTGAGAAGTGTATAAATGTGGTTTAATTTGGCAATAATGCAATACATAGAATTTGCAGAGTAATTGAGAGAGCAGAACAAAAACCTACACTTCTTTCTTTGGGTCTCAAAGCTTTGAAAGTGGCAGTAATATTTCACTGTAAGCAGTGTACTGATTTTTCCAGAGTGACTAAGGGCGATCCCAAAAAACTCGGGTAGGAAAAATTAATTCTTTCCATCAGGTAAAGTCACGTGTTGCAGGGAAGAGATGCGAATTAAAGAAAAGCATGGACACTGTTAAGGAGTAAGTTCTCAAACAAGGGAATGAGAAATTTGTCCAGGGAAGAGGGGTTTGAGCAGTAGCTTCTGCAGGTGACCCCTGGGAGGAGGGATACCTCAGGGCAAGGCTCATGACCTCATGCTGATGTGAAGGACCCTCTGCTGTTCTCTGGAAAGGGGCTAAAGGCCACAGGCAAGGTGTGCTTGGGATGGGGGGACTAACAATTTCGAACAGGAAAGCGGACATTAGGGGCGTAGGATATGCATTATTGGGTCCTGGGAGGGACAAAAGCCATACGCTGTAAAGTCTGCATGCTGTTGCCGCAGCAATCACTGATTTGCAAAGTACACTGTATGTGATTTGGAACGGCAAGTCCCGGGATGTCAGGGCATCCTCAAGTTAATGAAAAGAGCGAGGTGAAACAGTTAATGAGTAACAGGGAAAAAACATAGTGATCATCATCTGTCTGCAGTGTGGTGGTGCTTTTCCTGAACAGAGCGCTCTTGTTAAAACCTGACCTCTGAAAAGATTTTAAAAGAGTTAATGTTCCACATTTGCCTCAGGTTAGTTCAGTTTTTTGCCCTCTCTTTCACTCTTAACAGCTTTTGCTACTGTC